ATCCTGGTCAGGCCACTGCCGTATTCCAGCTCTATGCGCAAAGCAGTATGCCGATCGCCCTCCTTCTTTGCGGGGCGGTCTGTGTCGGTGATGGTAACCTTGAGCTGCTCGAGAAGGACGGGAATACGCCTGTGGCCGTGCTCATCGCGTTGGAACATGCTGGCAAAGAACAAGGCTGCGGGTGCACCAGCAAGCAGTTCAGCCATCAGCTCGGCCGACTTTGCGTGGTCGATTTGGCGTTCGGCCTTTTGTCGGTTGCCGAGCAGCTTGAGGCTGTTCTTGATGGACTTCCACTTCTGCGCACTCAAACTTGACGTCCGCTCGCTACGCATCCGCCATGGTGAGGGCTGTGTGTCTCCCGCCGCACCCCTGAAAGTAGTCAAGCTTCGCAAGTTGCCGGTAGGACGATTCTGGTGACCCTCTTCCTCGCCGTTGGGGTCGTGTCTTCGCAGACCTCCGTACGAAAGTCCCCTCGCACTGTGTAGTCCGCGTGTCCATGCGCTCTCCTTTGCGATGCGCGAGCGGCCCTCGTCCTCTGAGTAACCCTGACGCTCGTTCTCGGGTATGTCATCCATGGTGGAGCGGCGTAGAAAGCCCGGGCGGGTCGAGGTAGGCGTCATGGTGGGTGAGTCACGCGAAAAGAAGCCGCCTGTTGTCTGCTTGGGCGTGGTAGGGGCCGTCTGGGTGCCTTCGCCCTCGCCGTCGAACCAACGGCGGCTGCTCTTCCGCCTCTTTTGTCTCGGTCTTCTTGAAGCACCCTCGCCAGCGCTAGACTCGCCATCAGCATCGGCCTCGCTGTCGTGTCCCTCGAATCGCGGCTCGTCGTGCTCAGATGTGGGCGAGAGCTGGCCATGGGGTGAGCCTTCATGGCCTGAGCTTCCCCCCAATGCACTCAGGCTCCTGCCGTGTCCCTGCATGGGCGCTGCCAGTGCCCTCAGCTTGCCCATGAGCGACGAGCTCTGTCCACTCCGCTCCTTGCCCTTCCCTTCGCCGTCTTCGACCTCCCATGACTGCTGGCGCGAGTTGGCGGCGGGCGGATCGGATGTGAATGTGGCGGAGCGAGCGAACTGGACGCTCTTGCGCTCTCGGGGTGCGTCGGAGAGTTCGCCCTCGGTAGGGTGTCGGGACATGGGCGCAAAGGGCGGGTAGTAGGAGCTGGTGGATCCATTGGACATGTGCGAGGAAGGCTTCGGGGCGCGGAGAGGGGCTTCAGCAGCTTCGACGGGTACGGGGATGCTACCCCCGTTGGCGTTCGCTGGGACATGGAAAGGGAATTCGCCGGCTTCCTTGCTGGAGATGGGCGAGCCGGTTGGGGCAGAGCGCATGATCTTGGGGGCGCCGTCCGAGGGCGAGGGGTTGTGTATGTCTTGCGTCTCATTCCTGGGCTGTCCCAGACTAAGCGGCGATAGCAGTCGGCCGGACTCGTCTGTCCTTCCTGATACTGCAGGCGATCGCGAGCGAGGGCTGCGCGTCGTGGGCGAGCCCCCGGTCTTGCTGGAGCCAACCATGGTAATGACACGGAAGAGGCAGGAAGTGTCGGTGGGTGTCTTCTCACGGCGAGGTCGCGTGGGGGTGTGGTTGCTCGGCTTCTAGGGCGTTATACAGCCATGGCAGCCAGGAAACGTGCTGCTGCCGTCACTCGTCACGATGGATTGATGGAATGCTGCCCCAGGTGGAGTGGCAGTAGACTCGCAGTGACAGGTCTATGCCATGGACAGGCGAGAGAAAGAGACACGCGGCGCAGGTGATCAGTGTACGTCGTGCTGGGTCCCTGCGCGGTTCGAGTAATCTCCCAGGTGCTTTCCCCGGGCGTGAACTGTCTGGTTGCGCTAATACTTCCAAGGTTTTGGCGTCAGGGGCCCTCTCCGCCTTGCTGACCGCCTGCACCGCGTCGAGGCTCCACACCACAGATATGTACGATGCAGCGCCCTGCAGAACGCGTCCAATATCGCTTTCGTCGCGTTCGTGACATCGCATTCACATGCAACGCCCGCTTCTCTGCGAAAAAGACTCGATGATGTCGCCGCCGTCTCTCTGCGGCGTGGCTGCACCCCGCACTGTACTCCCAATCACTACAAGCATACCGAACTCATCACACGTGGGCATAATGGAAAGACCCCTTGTACCGCTGTATAATCGCGCCATGCATCCATATGCCATGGCCAGCACATCGCCCAGTGCCGCCCGTGAAGCTTGTCACACGATGATGTAGTTCTGCCGTCGACGGCAGCCTCGGTCGACGATCCCCTGCCCCTCCGCATGCCCACGTTCCAAGATACACCAGACGAATAGCTCCCTATTCTCTTCTCTAGACTTGCTAATTGCCCAACCCTATATCGCTATCCTCACTATTCTTAGGCCCCATCAGCCAACATGGCAGCGACTACGAATCCTCTCCACGGGACGCAGAACTCGTCCGACCTCCCCGTCTCCTCCCGCACCATCACAATCGCCGGCATCCTCGTCGACGTCCATGGCCTCGACCAACTCCCTCCTTCCCCATCGTCAGTCGCCTGCCTATGGCTCCTCAATCCGCGATTGCAGACGAAAGAGACCATGGCTCCCATAGCCAGACGCGTCATCTCTACCTGGAACAAGCGCATACAAGATGGCCGGGCGGGCAAGAACCCTAAGGGTTTAATCGCTGCTGCATTCGACCAACGTAATCACGGATCGCGCAAGGTGGACGATTTGCACAACCAAGCCTGGAGGGAAGGAAACGAGACGCATGCCCAAGACATGTTTGGATGCTTCCACGGCACCGCGACCGACACCTCTCAGCTCATCAACCATCTCGAATCCTACATCTTTACCGCCAAGGATAGCCCCAAGATCGAACAACACTTTGCCCTCGGTATCTCGCTGGGTGGACACGCGACATGGCACTGCTTGCTAGGTGACCCCCGCATCACCGCTGGCGTAGTCGGCATCGGCTGTCCAGACTATACGCGCTTGCTGACTGACCGCGCACGCCTATCCAAGAGAAAGACATACACGGAAACAACACCACCTGGTAGCGCATTTCTCGGATCCCCCGACTTCCCACAAGCGCTGCAGGACGCCATCGCCCAGTATGATCCCGCCGGTCTACTGCTACCGGGCATGTTCAATCCTCTAGGAAACGACACAATACCCGATCAAGAGCAGCTATCTAGAATGAAGGTCCTGATGAAGGAAAGACTTCAGGGCAAGTGCATACTGAACCTTAGTGGTCAAGCAGATAAGCTCGTTCCCTACGCAGCGGGTGAGCCGTTCTACAAGATCTTCAAACAGGTACTAGCAGAAGACCCGAGTCTCGACATCACCTTTGAAGACGTGTTATTCGAGGGCGTAGAACACGCTTTTCCGAAGCCAATGGCAGACAAGACAGCGGACTGGCTAAGTGACATTTTGGCCAAGGACGATGGGCCTATGTCAAGTAAGATATAGTGAAGCGCACAGCAATCGCAAATAATTGAAGTTTCAAACGCATCAGTATGACGGCAGGCAGTACTTATTTGCATTTCTTGTCACTCTCGTTCACCCTCTACTTCTGTTTCTTGCTACTACCAGGAGTACCAACCATCTTGCTTCCATGTCTGCCTCCAGTCGACGCACTCTGCGCAATCTGCGAAACCGCCTAGCCCCAGAACACAGAATCCCGCTCTACCACGCCTTCTCCACTTCCGAAGAGCAAGCAGCCTACGTCGATGACACAGTCCCTCCCCCCGCCATCATCCCTTACGCCGTGAACAGCTCGCCCACGTTGACTGAAATATCCTTAGCGCGGGAAATAATCATCAGGCCCTTGGAAGAAGACGGCGATGTTTACGACCAAGGAACTTCAAGCAACCAGCAGAAAACAGCGGAAGAACACGTTCTTGAACGCATTGGCAGATTAATCGCAATGCTTACACTGTACAACCTAGCCAGGTCGTGTGATGAGATCAAAGAAGATGATTGGGAAGAGTACATCACACCCTACGAAGAAGGCGATCTGGAGATGCTGGAGCGTATCTGCCCAAAGCAATGGTGGGACGAAGAGATAAGAGAGGCATGGCCGAATCTCATCGTATTTGCGCGGCGGGCAAGGAAAAATCGTAGTTAAAACTGATTGCACCAGGTAGTCCACTCACACTAAAATAAACCTCTCCACCAACCCCCCATCATCCATCCACTCACACACCCCCAAATCCTTCGCTGAAAAAGGAACTTTACCCAACCTCTCATACACATTCCCTTCTCTCCCCTCTACCCTCGCCACAATAATCGCATGATAACTTGCATCTCTCTCCATCTCCACAGGCCTTACATGCTTCCACAGTATCGCAGCCCACAACTCCCTCCCCCTCGCCCTCTCCGTATGAGTCTGCGTGTCGAAACAAGTATACGTAGGCTGCATGTCCCCCTCCAACGTCTCCTTCGTCTGCGCCACAGCACCCTTCTGCCGATTCGGAAATACATCGCCATCTCCTTCTCTCTGTTCGGCCGCAGGGTACAAACGTTCCAGCGGCGCGCTAATGTCTATATACCCGTCTGTTACCTCGCCGAAAGGATTTTGCGCGCTCTTCAACGTAATACTCGTAGCGTGGATCTTGGCTAAAGCGGTCCATTCCCCCTTGTCCCACCCCACACCTGAATTCGGGCTAAAGAGGCAGAACGGCCCGTCGATAGCGGCCCAGGACCAACTTGGTGCGCGGTATACTGCCGGTGAAGTTGTCGTGCCGACGGCTTGCCAGATTAGGTCATGGAGTAAGGTTGGGGACCAGTGTCCCGCGAGGTAGGTGGTTGGAGAAGGGAGCAAGGAAGCGTAAGTGCGTGCGAGGCCAGAGAGGGCAGTCAGTTTATCCGAAGGTTTGGTTAGAGAACGGCGGGAGTAGGCGTCTAGGACTGCGTGCCAATGTAGCGTGGGGTTGTCGGGCATAGGTTTATCCAGAGAGGAAGGATGCGTGTGGGATGGGAAGGTATGGGAAGTAGTTGGGAAAAGAGTGTCGAATCGCCCTGGCAGGTAGAAACCCTGCTCACTGAGAAAAGAACAGTAGCACTCGAAGAACATCTGCTCCGTGCCGAAATGAAGTACACGCGGTGCGAGCCAGCGTTCTTGTAACGCCCAGCCGCGTTGGGTGAGTGGTTCGGTCTTCAGCATTGCGTTGTTTCCGGCCCAGGAGGGCTTTGCGGCTGTTTCGCGGGAGGAGGAGAAGGCGTGGAGAGTTCCTTTGATACCGTCTGTGGTTACGTATTCGAAAGGGGAGTAGTTGGGTGCTGGGCGGTTGGGAGAGAAGATGGATAGCCCAGATGTAGAAGATGGAGAACCGGTCGCGGAGAGCATGATGTAGGCGTTTGAGTAGACGGAGGCCATGCGCGATGTTTCGCGCGACCAGTCTTCTGAGTCGTCTTGGCAGATACTGGGTTTGTTAGTGTTTGGTATTCTGAGTAGGCTGGGTAAGGTTGGCTTACCAGAGGGAGTCGATCCATAGATATCCGATACCCATCTCTCTGGCTATGAGGATGGCGTCCTGAAACGTCTTTGGGAGCTGGTCGGTATCAATACCCCTCTTGTTGGCTTCGATATTGGCACGTGTGGTTGCGAAAGGGCTTGACTCGCCCCAGACATAACTCAGTGCTGCGTACCGTCCCAGTTCTCCTTCGATGGGCGCATAAAGAGCTACTCTGTGTGGCGTCGAGTCTCGTATATCCAGGACACGAGCTGGAAGAGGTGCCGCATCGACATGACAGTGCCGATCCGTCCGTTGTTTGTCGCAATCGCGTACCCAGTTTAGGGCATGTGCAAGTGTATGCGGAGACGAGGAGAGTGTCTTGCGACCTCGAACGACAGCGGCCAACGGATCGCCGTCTACAACGCCGTTAGTCGAAGCAACAGCTTCACCAAATCACTTTGATACTTACAATCAGCACACAACCCCACAGCAGCAACAACCCAAACCTGAAACCAATACTTTGTATCGACCGACACCACCATGAAACCCCCAGTATCATTCACACCCCTAACGAGACACATCTTCCAATCCGGTCCTCCGCCACGTTCGGCACGAATCCCAGGTTCCTTCTTCGCCCCACTGAACTCGGATTGAAACTGCGCGACATCGCGCTGTACGGTCTTGCAGATTGCACAGTCATCGGCAGCGGCGGCTTCGAGGTCTTCGATAGATTGGTGGAAGGGTATACCGATGGGTTCTTGATCCTGTGGACGGTCTTGCTTGTTCTTCCAAAGGTCCCTGAGAGGTTGGCTACTTATTTGGACTAGGCACGGGTAGTCGCGTCGAGTGACAGTATGGATTCTGTAATCGGGTGGTAGCTTAGGGATGTTGAGGACGTCGAACGGCTGGCAAAGATCGCATAATGGCATGTTGACTTCTTTCTGATTTACTGCAGAGCTCTCATGTGTGATCGTGATGAAAAGGCGAGCTGCACATCGGGCCCTTCTATAGATTTGGCATTGTTGTTTTCTGTCGGCATCATCACCAGGCAGCCGTGGTGGCGAACGTATATTGCTAGACCACTGCACGTGTTGGATTACCCCTGCGCAGCACCTTGCACATGCGATTGGAGGCCAGTTAGGCTGCCTTGGTGAGATAACTTGATAGGTGCAGTTCGAGGCGTGGCTATGCCGGCACGAATGTACTGTGCTGTGCGGGGGGAAAATGAGCCAATGAGCAAGGCTTGTCCTACGTAAATAATTCCTTTCAGGCTTGTTCCTTCCATTCTTGCCAGCGCCTTGCTTTGGTCATAAGATGCTACTTCTTACGTATGACTGCATTGATTCGATACGCAAGCAATTCAGCGCAAATTCCCGTAGCCATGGACATGCCTCACAATTGGAAAGGCATTGCCTTTGTCATCTATAGCGAATGCCCACCGTACATCTTGCCTTCAACGACTGCTCCCACATCTTCTGCCGAGAAAGCGCAATGGCCCAGTCCATCAGTACCAGTACTGACAACGCCCCACTGCAGTTTCTTCTCGGCAATGTTCTCACCACTGCCAACCTGTTCTGTCGGATGACACGCTGCGCTGATGGCCATACTGCAGCTGCCCACAATTGGCATTCCACGCTTATATGGTGTGTACCCCAAAGCAACTATGCTGATGACCATTAGTCCACCCAACACTATCACTGATATAATGGCCGGCGGCGAGTAACCCAGAGTCTTGTAATCGAATGGCATGTCATCACGCCCAGTGCCCGGTTTCCCAAATGGGTCGTAAAAGTCGATGGCGAACAGGAAAATGCTTTGCGAAACCAGCCAGTGTAATGTGCCACTTAGCACCATGAGAGGTATACCGAAGCGATAGGGTAGCTGGAGGAAGTACGTCGACCGTTGAGCACCGGCAGGTTGATGAGTTACGCGAAGGCCTTTACGCTTGCTTGAATAAGACACCCATTCGTAGCCCATTAGCATGGCCGTGAAGAGCGCGTTGTAGCTAAAGTACAGAAATGAGAGAGCTACTTGGGGCGTGTTGGCGATGACAGCGATGGCGATCAAACCCGATGGCAAATACACCCCCATGATTGCTGTTTGAGGATCCACAGCGCCTAGAGGTAATTAGCACCGTGCTCAATTTCACATGACAATCAAATCATACATACCGAATGAAAACTGATCAAAGGTAGTCCCCAGGGGTAGATTGTCAATTCCCAGCTTGAGAAGGAAGCTCACTATAGCTAGGGCAAGTAAAAATCTGATCAGTAATGTAAGCAAACTGCCAACGATATCTTCGGTTTACCGGCGTAACCTACAAGACAACAACAACGATCCTGCGGGTGATGCTGGTCACATCTTTCCAGTAGTAACGATCATCCCGCCATTGTCTCGGTCCTACCTGATACCCTTTGCGGTTTCGAAAGTCTGCTAGTGTAGACAAACACATGTCCTTCGTTGTAACGTCTTCGCTCTCCAGAAACGATGCGACGGCGTCGCCCATTGTCATGAGCGGCTCGTCGTGCACGAAGAGCAAAACGTAGAACATTAGACATGCTTTGACTGTAGAAAGGTTAGAGTTGATTCGAGCTCGAATTGTTGGTCGACGAGCGTGTTCTTTACACTACTGCGTCTGTATAGGCGTGGAGAATGACAGCTGAACTTACAGAGATTGAGGATCGTAATAACAGTCGTAATAGTAGGCTCGAAGTGGAGCTTACAGTGGGGTTGAGCCGGCTCACTTAAACAGTACTCCACCGGCGTACGTGACCGGTCGCAAAGCCCTTCACCGTCGCAAAGCCATCCAACCTGCCAAGATTCTTGCTTCTTGACATCCTGTACCACGACTGAACATGGGTTGGATTGGTCGCGCGACGCGGAACATATCCAGTCGTATGCAAAGCTAGCTGCCGCGGCATCCGCGGCATCGTATACATCAAAATCTGCAGCCCAATAAACGTGCGAGCCATTGATAAACTTGTTCTCCGTTGATGGGGGAAAGAAGCTATCGTCGGACACTATAAGCAGATTTCGATGGTTGGATTGTATGCTAGTGGCATATTCGTCAATGCATCTGTCGGGCTCAAGCCTTTCGAGGTCGCCCGTGCGTGCTTTCCCCCAGAGGTTTTCAAGTACAGATCGGAGTTCGCCAGGACTGGCGTCGACCGAGGTTCGCCTTGATTCTCCATCTGTAAAGTTAGATATAACTGACCGGACCGTTTCGTCTGTGCAATTCATGCAATGTTCACCGTCCAGAAATGCTCGTCCGACAGAAAACACCCAGTAACCGTTGGATGAAATCGAACCAAACACCGCGGAATTGTACCTGAGGGTCGTAAGCATCAATAGCTCCAGGATTAATTGCTGCCTTACAAGAGATGCAATGGCAAGGATGATAGTCCCAATGCTGCCCACAGCACAGCTCTACGCCGGCTGATATGTCTGAGATTGCGTATGCCAGGTACACCCACATCGAGGTATACACTAGGCTTGCGACTGTGGGCAGAATCGACTTCGCTTCGCGTTGGTGCAGATAAACACTGCATTGTGTAGTTGCTCCCAGCCAACAGGATCGTACTCAAGATGTTGATGCCAAGATGGAGCCCGGTGTTCAGCCTTTTGACGTGATCGCAATCGCCATCGAAGAAGACACCCTTGGCGCCAGAGGTGGCAGCCATACCTGATACCATGGCCACGAAGTTAATGAGAAAGACCACTGAAGCCAAAATCGCGAAGTTGAGCACGCCAAACCGCCATCCAGTGAAGCGAGACCCTAGATGTTTCTCCACCGCACGCTTGCGCAACCCAAGTATCGATGCTGCCTTCGCGCGAATGCTTTGTGGTAACTGCAAGCTCCCGAGAGGTTTTCCATTCCGGTCAGTTTGGGCTGTAAGCGGTACCTGCATCTCGAGATTGCTATTGGATCTCCATTCGGGGTGTATCGTTGAGCGTATCCTAGAAGGCAATAACCGCCAAATTGAATCAGGCATTGCGAAACCCATGAGCAAAAATGTTGGATCCGGACCAAATAGATAGACAACGTAAAAGAGACCAAAGAAGCGCGTAGTATCGTGCGAGAGATCTCCCCCAATGTACACAACCAAAGTTCCCTCGCGAAAAGACCCCTCGGGTTCGAGCGCGAAAGACAGAGGAGACCATGCGAGAGATTGCACCCTCGCAGGTACGAGCCCACCTATCAGCAGTGCCGTCTGGTTTTTGCCAAGTATACCGGCCGCACATTCTCATGGGTTGAGGCTTACTCTGAGCCTCTTGCAAGGCGCCCCGCGCCGCTTTGGGGGCCAAAGTCCGTATGCTAATTCGGTTCTATGTCGTCAATCCATGTGGATGGGCTACGGTGAATGGACGACCATCGCACGCGTGTAGGAGCGTGATTTCAATGAACATAGTCATCGTATCCAAGACGTAGACGCAGCGCGACGCGGGTGCGAGGAAGGTTCGTTTTCGTCGGGTGTCGCGCACCTCGGAACTAACGGAAGCTGTCTTCCCGAGAAGCAGCGCGCCCAGCAGCCTCCAGGGCTGTGAAACAGCACCATCAGGGTGTGTGACAGCGAAAATATCCATCAGCGAAGCCGTTGAGAGAACAGCGGTCTCGACTCAGGCGCACAGTCTGCACGAGTCATGAATTGACTGGGAAAAGGTGCTGGCCGGGAAACGCGACGCCGCGTCTTGCGCGCGACATGTTCGCGTTGCTGAGGAGCGGTAGTGCGGCAGAGCTCGAGGCAGAGCCTTCTCAATGCTCTTTCGTCACCGCGGCAGCATGTTTGATCGTGTTTAACGAGCGAGGATCTACTGAAAATAGAGTCAAGGAAATTGCGTGCCTCGGGGCATCGGTAAAGCACGTCAGCTTGCGCGTGAAGGAAGACCCGAGGACCGGTCCGTGGCCACTTGGAAGTCACCGGATGCGCATTCAACAACAGCAGTTCTCAGGAAGTGGAGGTGATGTAAATGATAATCGTAGTTTCATTGAGTTCTTGCCTGTTAAGTTTAGCGGCACGTACTAGCAGATGCGATCGAGTGTCTTTGATCAAGCATCGCAGCATAAGCATCATAATAATATAGTACATGTCAGATAGAGTCACTTCCGGTGAGCCATCCGATTCCACCGTCAACGCCGATTCGCCGAAGAAGAAACCCACATCGAAAACCGTAAATCAATGCAGCCGAAATGATAACTGAGGCGTGTTTTGTTGCCGTTCGTGGGGTAAGGAAACAAGGAGGAAGAGAAGAGATGGGTTGAGACACGTCACATCTCCATCGCGTCGGTGTCTGCAGTCGCCATAGGGGCGTCGGCGACTGGCTGGGAAATGGGTGTAGAGGCAGGCGACGGCGTCAACTGGCGAGCATTGATGCGCTCACCCTCAACACGAGGAGTTGAGCCGAACATGAGGTTGCTGACAGTTCGCTCTAGTGACCAGCCAACGAGCTGGCACCACTGAAGGTTGTCCGAGAATAACCAGTAGCCCTGGACACCGTGTTGCTTAGCGCGTACGAGATACGCGTTGAGTGATTCCTTCTCCAGCATCACCAGGACGTCGGTGAAGTCGAAATGACGCTCAATCACGCGGGAGTATGCGCGTGCCGCGTCGCGTAGGTTGGGGTTGGTCATGACGTTCTTCCAGCCTACTCCGAGAGATGCGATGAGCGTGTTGACGGTGTTGCCTTTGTCGTCGATGAGCTCTTCGGTCTTCTGAGCATCCATCTCGTTGAGGGGAGTGATTTCGACATTGGCAGTTGGGCTCATGCGGACTGACTTGCGCGATACGGCGATAGGGCGAGCTTCAGCTTCAGCCTTCTCTTCTTTCTCGACCTTCTCTTCGTACCAGGTGCCCGATTGCGACTCGGCTGCCATGGTGTAGCCAGGCTCTCCAGGGTAGATGAGCGTCATCCCTGGACCGTACACAGGCTCGGGCTTCGGCTTTGAAGGCGATTGAGTGACAATTGATCCGACGGGTAGGTTCTCCTCCGGGTCGTCGACGTCGGCGATGGATCGTTTGCGCCCAGCGGTGGCATTGGAAACGGCGGCTAGATAGTTGAGCGAAGGCGGAGTAGGGTATTTGGGGCGGAAATTACCCATTGGTGCAGCGGCGCTCTGGTGATGCGGAAAGTAGTCCTGCGGTTGCTGGGGCGGCAGGACCACAGTTGGCGACGAGGCGTAGTAGTTAAGACCCATACTGTATGTTTAGTAGTTTAGCAATGTTAGAGTTCGTGAAGGATACAAAGACCTGTCTTGATCAAGACAGGACAGTGAGCATGCGACGATTTAGTAAAGTCACTAAGAGCGACAAGATGAAGGTGGATGATGGCGAGAAGGTGAGGCGCGATGGAGATAGTGGATGATGGGGATGGGTAATGGTGATGGATGGGAGTGGTAAGATGAAAGAAAACCGAGCGAGGTGTGGGAGTGTCCAAGTTATAGACAGAAGAAAGGCGGCGTGCGGAAGTTTGGCGCAAAAGAAGTGAGAGGAAGGAAGGAAGGTTTGGAGGGCACCAGAGCGGTCTTGTAAGCTGCGCACGAGTCCCGTGAGAGGCTGGCTGCGACGCGGTGAGAGGCGGCAGAATGGAGGGTAAAATAGCCCGGCGAGTGATCTCCAGGGCAAGTCTAGCGCGTATTGGCCGTCACGCGAGGGCTGCCTGCCGAATTCGGTAGGCGCCAAGGCTCTGTGTAAGGCAGGGCCGACCGGGGTCGTCGATGGAAGTTGCCGTTGATCGCGGGCTGAGCGCTTGAGTCAGCAGGGCAGGTGGTGTGGCTGTTCTGTGGCTGGTGCCCGGTCGCAGATAATCCGCGCCGGAATAGTGGCGGCGCTGCGACGCGGTTTTTGGTAGCAAAAGTTAGTGGAGGAGCTGCAAGGCACCGGACGCAAGATACCCCACGCAACTCTGTTTTCGACCCCCTCCTTCTTACATACCGTGCTTACAGACCTGTACTGTCAAGATGCAGGCGCCAGTGGTTGTCATGAGTATGTGTAGTCGCTCACCTGAAGCTGCGACAGCCCACTAACACATCAACAGACACGCAGACCCCGGGCGGGGAGCGCCAGTTTGGCCGCAAAGCTCAACTTTCCAACATCACAGCAGCCAAGACGGTCGCCGACATCATCAGGTCATGTCTCGGTCCCAAGGCTATGCTGAAGATGCTGCTCGACCCAATGGGCGGTATCGTCCTAACCAACGACGGCCACGCTATCCTCCGAGAAATCGAAGTCGCACACCCAGCAGCCAAGAGCATGATTGAGCTGAGTAGGACACAAGATGAAGAGGTCGGCGACGGCACAACCACCGTCATCATATTAGGTGCGTAGATAGTGCGGGGAAATTGGGGAGCGTACATTGACAGCAGACAGCGGGAGAAATCCTCGCACAAGCTCTGCCCCAGCTTGAGCGCAACATCCACCCCGTCGTCATCATTCAAGCTTTCAAGAAGGCCCTTGCCGATGCCCTCGAAATCATCAGCGAGATTGCGGTCGAAGTCGACGTCAACGACGACGAGCAGATGTACAAGATCATCAACTCCTCCATCGGCACAAAGTTCGTTTCGCGGTGGTCTGACCTGATGTGTGGATTGGCACTGAAGGCAGTACGAACTGTTTCGCTCGACATCGGCTCTGGAAAGCAGGAGGTCGACATCAAGCGCTACGCACGTATCGAGAAGATTCCCGGAGGCGAGATCGAAGACAGTGAGGTTCTGGACGGAGTTATGGTCAACAAGGACATCACACACCCAAAGATGAGGCGGAGAATCGAGAACCCTCGTGTTCTGTTGTTGGACTGCACACTGGAGTACAAGAAGGGCGAGAGTCAGACAAACATTGAGGTCAGCAAAGAGGAGGACTGGAACAGGATTCTCCAGATCGAGGAGGAGCAGGTCAAGCAGATGTGCGATGCCATTGTCGCTCTCAAGCCTGATCTCGTCATTACTGAGAAGGGTGTCAGCGGTAGGTTACATCGATTCACTCCTTTCATGGGCTTGCTAATATCGAGTAGATCTCGCACAGCACTACCTCGTCAAGGCCGACATTACTGCCATCCGCCGTGTCCGCAAGACAGACAACAACCGTATCGCGCGTGCGACCGGCGCGACGATCGTAAACTCCGTATTCGCAGCTACCGCTTCAGACATCGGTACCGAGTGCGGCCTGTTCGAGATCTCCAAGATCGGTGACGAATACTTCACCTTCCTCACAAAGTGCAAGAACCCGAAGGCATGCACTGTCCTGCTCCGAGGACCCTCAAAAGACATTCTGAACGAGATCGAGCGGAATCTACACGATGCTATGGGTGTCGCCAGGAACGTCATCTGGAACCCCAAGCTCTGTCCCGGCGGTGGCGCCACTGAGATGGCCGTCGCGGTCGGTCTAGACCGGAGAGGAAAGTTGATTGAGGGTGTCGCACAATGGCCATACAAGGCCGTCGCCGAAGCTATGGAAGTTATCCCGCGCACACTTATTCAAAACTCCGGAAACAGCCCTATTAAGGTGCTCACCCAACTGCGCGCGAAGCATGCGGAGGGCTACGAAGACGGCAAGCAAACTGGCAGTGTCTGGGGTATTGATGGCGACGCAGGCAAGGTCGTCGATATGCGGACATATAACGTCTGGGAGCCTCTTGCTGTCAAGGAGCAGAGCGTCAAGACTGCCGTCGAGAGTGCTTGCCTATTGCTCAGGGTGGACGACATCGTTGCTGCGAAATCGGCCAAGCAAGTGAGCGGTCCGATAGGCGGTGGTGATGATTAGATATAGATACGCAAGGCGTGTTCTGCGAGATCCCTGCTATACAAGCCAGGAACAGTCGCTAGGAATGAAGAAATCACATCTGCCAACCATACATTAGACCTGGCTGTACACCAACTTTGGTGAAACTCAAAACAAACATGTACTAAGGTTAGCATTTGTTGCTTTTGATGTGATCAAGACATGCGCGGCGACTTCCGCAGACACATCGCTGGCTGCCGATTGATAGTTCAAGGTTTACATTGTGAGATATTCTTTGAACGTGATCCTCGTGTTCGTCGTTCTGGTGGACGCGAGATCGCTTGCCGTGCCGCTCAACATGATCCACGTGCCCAAACCTGCTCAGCCTCTCAATCACCCAATCGCATCGCCCTCCTCTTTAAGTACACTTTGCGCATATAACTCGCACTGCGAGCTCCAGCCATTCAGCCAGACCCGGCGCTCTGCCACGCAAGCACGTCTTCCTCCTGCGAATCAGGCTCCATATTGCGACTAGTGACGCAGCCTGGTCGTGCTGCTGCGCCGCATCGCTATACTGCACTCGTGTCAACACCTGCTAAGCACCGTGGAGACGGTCATAAGCCTCGCCAAGGCCTACCTCCAGTGCTTACATGCGCTGCGATGGTTGCTCCTTACCTTATCTGGCATCCTCAGCGGTGGTTGTGGGTTTGACGGTCTGTATGGCTCTGCCATGAATGTGCGGGTGGCCTGAAGCGTGGCTACGTTATACGAGTTTGCCAGCTGAGCTGGAGAGATGATGGGCCTGTAGGTATATGTATAGAAGTTGTGCTGCTCAGTATGAATTTGTTCATTCTCCCATCAAAGCATCTTCGGATCTTCTCAATCGTTGCATTTCAGTCTTATCATCCTCCCAATCATTGTTGAAACTTTCCACGCTCTATCAAGCAAGCTATCAACACCCGAGTATGAACACTTTAATGCTCAGGGCGAGAAACCATCTCGAGCGGCGCGATGACTCTAAGACATGTCCATTGGAAGATGCCCATGGTCCAGAGATCATTCCCTTCATCGGCAACCTCACATTCCACCAGTTCGCAACGATCTTGTCCGGTGCCTGCGCCATCCTCAGCACTTTGATCGTCGGGGCATTGATCGCACTTCACGCCTTCAACTACTCGAACCCCGTACAACAACGGCAGATCATCAGGATCATGCTTTTGATACCATGGGTCGCCCTTTTCTCTTTCCTAGTTGTCTGGCGAAGCGACATTGGAGAATACCTAGCCCCTTCACTCGACTTTGGTTGTTCGATCGCACTTTCGTCGTTCTTACTGTTCATGTGCGATCTTGTCCTATCGCATCAGGAAGGATTTGATGGGTTGTTTGGAGAGGGAGCCAAAGCCAAGGGTGCGCTCAAAATGAACAGTCCAACGTGGCTCAAGGTAAGCTCTCACATATCTGTCTCAAGATTTGAGACCTTATCTGACCCTCTGCAGCGTACCTGGTACGGCGTACTCCAGTTTATACCCACTAGCATCGTCATATGGATCGCCACGGCAGCTACCCTCGCTACTGGTACCTACTGCAAGCAGTCCAACAACGTGCACTTCGCCCATATCTGGCTCACCATACTCATTGGCTACACTACAACGGTCGCTATCGTTAGCTCACTGAGGTTCTACAAGAATAACAAGAAGTTGCTACAGAAGCATCAGATCATACTCAAACTGGTTACATTCAAAGGTATCCTCGGTCTGAATTTTCTCCAATCGGTACGCTAAACAATCCCCTGAAGTAGTCAACGTGTATACGACGTACTGACACCGTCCTCACAGTTCATCATTTCGCTGCTTGCAGGCCACGGAAAGCTGGAACCTACAAAGTACATGACGTACCATGATGTCAATACTGGTCTTGCGTCACTCATCCTCGCCTGCGAAATGCCCCTTTTCGCCGTACTTTTGCTCTTTGCATTCTCGCCATTACCGTATAAGCAACAGGGTAGTCCTGCCGCTGGACCACTCAATGCTATCGTCGATGCGTTCAATCTCTCAGACCTACTATCAGCGTTCTATCGGGGGCCTATGAGATTGGTCAGGGACCAACAAACACAGATCAGGCGGCAGGACAGTGTTAGGATTGCATTGGTCTCATCCAGTGATGAGGAAGAGGGGAGAGGCCGATCTGTCCCGTAAAGGTTTCAGAAGGAGGCTCACCAAAGGACGCTACCTTATCACTTTTCTTATCTAGAGACCCTGATATCCCCGGGTTTGCTTCGTCGCGCTTTTCGTCAGTGAAGTAGAGCTTTGACCACGTCAACAAACGCTTCCCCACAAACACTACCTTTGATCCTTTTCTTGCCACTTTCATTACTCTTTCTTTCCAACCTCATTCGCAGCAAATAATTACTGACAATACTAACAACTGGTTTTGATGACGCCCTCGCAAGAGGTCACGGTCGCAGCCGGTGCACTGTAATTGAGATGACTCTCAATACAGTAGGTATGGATATCTAACGAAGAGCAGGTCCTTCCTTTTGTTGGCAAAAGTTCTCGTTCTGAAGATCAGGTCAATTTCCACAACGACCCAGCGACCGTATTCTCATCTGCCGGCGGAGCTATGGGCGCAGATCCTTCATCACGTGGAAGACGAGTACACGCTTTGGGTCATTTGCCGACAGGTCTCGCGAACCTTCCGGGCTGAAGCCGAACGCGAGTTTGCTAAGACACGTCTTCCACAGCTGCGCATCAATTGGGCATCTATGGGAGAAATCATGCACGAAAACAGGCTGCATGAATACGACTGCAACGTCGAAGATCTAGAATTCCAAGGTCTCACTGAGGATGGTCTACGAGCTCAGTTCACAGCCGCATTTGAATATGAACTGCGCAATCTGGAGGGCCGCCCGGCATATGCGCGAACACTATACGATCGGACGCAGTACAAACCCTTGTTGGAAAAAACCTTCGCCGAGCTGATCCCCTTTCGCTACCTAGACTTCAAAAAGAGAGTCGACAGGCAATACTGGACAAGACAAATGGCTTTGATTGGCGGTTATGTCGGTAACGCCCAGCTTACGGATGTATTGATCGACCTTGACAACAAAACCATCACTTTCGATTGGAAGACTTTTTTGAACGACTTCTTCCAGCTCATCACCTATGTTCGAGCACGAAAGCAGACTCAAGGCACAGTGAGCGACCTGGCGAAACAGGCGTTCGAAGCCTTTCGTCTCCAAAAATCCCCTTACACCAAAACGCTACTGGATGCGCTTCGGTTGGAGCGGAAATCGTGGGAACATGTCTATGGTGAAGAGGATGACGACTGCCATACGGAAGCGTACTTCCGCCGCTTACGATCCGCACACAACGAAGCTGGACTAGATTTCGATCTAAACAACATGATCGATGGTATGGACGAAGCGGAAATCAGGAAGACGGAGGTCAAGGCTACGGCACTCATGAGATTGTTCAGGAATATTCGGTTGATGAATAGCTTCCGTGACGGATACGAGAGCGATGCAAGCAACGGAGGAAGTGCATGAGTGTGGGCCGGTACCGACAAGAAGGCGGCTGGAGAGTTCACTGAGAAGTGCGGGACCAATGTAGGCTCCCTGATAGGGTTGGAGTGCTTGTGAAGGGGGTTATGGAAGGGCGTCTTCTTCAATTCTGTATGTAATCGGGACAAACAGATAGCCGCTCCAAGCACAACAATTACCCTAGTCGCACATGACCGGCCTCCTTCGATATCTGGAGTATCAAATCATGCCGGTTTATCCAGAAGCAGGGCTAGGCAAACGAATGCAGAACGGGAGACGATTGCCGTCACGGTAGGTGTCACAGTCTCGACTGCCACCATGCAGCCAATGCAGGAGCTGTCAAAGAGTTTGAAAAGCACTTCAGGATGCTGACAGGAGCCCAACGTCCCGCGCGCACTCGCATCTTGGCCTCAGGAATGAAAGGGTGCCTCCTGCAAGCGTTCGAGCGACGTTCATCGAGCTGGGGAAGTGTCGCACCTTCTGCGGGATCACCGCTGAAACCGTTCGCTTGAGCTCTGACACAGCTCACTCTGCGAACTTCATGGGTTTCGAAACGGTTGTCACTGCGAAAGATCCTCCGCAGTGAGTCCGCACGGCCTGTCACTCACCTGTCTAAACGAAACATGCCGACCGACTTCCTGGTGGCGGCTGCAACGTCGTCCCGCAATGCACCACGAGTATGCTCGCTAGTTAGACGGGTGTGTCACCAGCTTACGGTGGATGCGAAAAAGAAAGAAGACTAATGTCGCTGCTTCCATAGCCTTGCAGCAGGCTAATAAGCCAACATTACCCCTCTTTTATTGCCAATGAGGCCATGGCATTTCTGCGTCAGACGATTAGAGCGCATTTTGCGGCTCGAGGGTAACCTGGTTCTGGGCTCCAGGGTTAACGGTTTTGCTGCACACCTCCCACACCCGTGGAAGTTTTGCGGTGTGCGCGTGCCGGTATCGAAGACGAAGGGCAAGCTTCCAGGCTTGGGGACGCAGCCCCTCACTTACACCAACATCGCGATCTAGGCGTAAGGAAACAGATCCTGTCTATTTCGAATAGGACGGATGGTCAAGCTCGCACACAACGAGCTTCAGATTCGGCAGATGCGCCTAACCGAAGCTGTGCGTAGCATCGGTGACTTTGCGGAAGCACATGCAATGAGACGAGCACGAGACCCACGCCGCATCTCCTTCCGAAGGCTACCTGAGGACGCCTTTCCAGAACCCACGGTTGCCGTATCTTCCGTTAATCTCTGTTGAGTACCCAGTTAATTAGCCAACATTTGGGCTTGAAGCGGGGCGTTCGATAGTGCGTGCATGCCGCTATCGGGTCATTTACTGACTTTGTTCAGCCAGATCAGGTCATTTATCAGCCGTGCGATGCGTGGCGTCTGCAGCGCACAGGCGGCGGGTGAAGGCCAGGGAGGCCTGGGCGTTGTGGCATCCAGCCTCCCGTTCGAGCAAGTGCAAACCCAATCCCCAAAACTGTGGACACTTCTGCCGACGTTTGGTGTTCGTCTGGAGGGCCTGATGCTGAAACTAAAGAATCCTTCGTTGGACGTTGGTTGACTATGACGAGCCTGAGTCTGAGCCAACTGCGCCGCCTCCCTAAGGCAGAATCGACGTCTCGCTGTCAGACATCGCGATGAGCGCGGAGGCGATGACTGCAAAAACCAACCTTCACAAGACTTGGGAGCGCGAATGGAGGCTCAACACGAAGATAGAAGAGCGCCACCGGAATGCGGCTCACTAGAAGGCAGGTAATGCCCATCGTATCGCTCGCCCATCCCTGCCTTCTCATCGCAAGATTGAACGTATCAGCGCTTACAGCAGACACAAGCCTTTTAGCCAGATGCCGAGAGCGGCAAGGTGACATGCGGAAAGCGGATTACCCTGAGACGCTAAAGCCACCTCCAGGTATCACCAATTTGGCGTGCATATCGCTTCAAGGATAATAGTAGGAAATCTGGTCAGGATCATGGTCCGTGCCCATGTACCTACACATGGCGGCGCATGCGTGCCCTTGCCGGCGGGCCTGTCTAACGGCCAAGCGCGAAGGTTACAGACGAAAGTATAAGTCTGTCGAACCGCCTGGTCTAAGAGGTAGTGTAACAACGATACCAGCCTCGAGTTCTCCACGCTAGCAAAGACTAAGGGACGTCACTTCTATTTTGATATCATCGATCACTGCATCGCTCCTCCTACATTAGAACTTCATCGCTCCTTCTACATTCGATCGCAGTACATATACCAGCATCGCTCCTCCTACATTCGGTCGCAGTACATATACCAGCCTCGCAAATCGCATTACCAACAACACTTCCCTAACCTTGAGTATCATCATAACCAGTTATCATGCTCTTCTCTACCATCACTACGGCACTGCTCTTTGCCGCATCTGCTACTGCAGCTGCCCTACCAAGACCCGCCAAACCGCAATACGCTCCCGCCCGTAACCTCAACAAGCTCGCCAAACTCTTTCCCCAGAGCGCTCTTCAAGGCCCAGGCGACTTGGATCTCAAGTACGTTGTGCTCGGCATCGGCACACAAAACTACACTTGCGGTTCTGATGAGAGCGCGGCTCCTGGTACTACTGGCGCATTCGGTAAGAACCCACTCAACTTGACAGGGAAGGAGCTAACAACCACCAAGCCACCCTATACGATATCGGTACGAAGCTCAACGACGAAGCATTTGCCAAGTGGAAGATTCCCTCTATCACCCCTCTCGCACTCTCACTGTACGAAGTGGCTCCTGGGCTAGTCGACATGAGCCTCCGACTCCAGGGCTACGAACATATCACCGGTCACCACTTCTTCGCCGACGTAGAAGGAGCGAACACACCAACATTCGCCTTCGACAAACTGAGCACGCCATTCCCCATGACCCAAGTGGCCAAGATCAGCAACGTCAGTGCACCATCGTACGCATGCCCAGGCAAGAACGGTCTACCTGCCGTCGACTGGCTATACCTACAGCACAAGACTGGCATCACTCAGGGAGGAATCAACACCGTCTACCGTGTCGAGACTGCCGGTGGTAACAAGCCTGCTACATGCAAAGGCATGCCAGCCACATGGGAAGTCAAGTACGCTGCGCAATGTAAGTATACCCGAAACACCCACGTAGCTAGAATAGTCCACTAACATCTCACAGACTGGGTCTATGGTCCCAAGTAATAAGCGCCGAGCTTGCGACGCTCGTTTCGAGTCAGTTACGAACACTACCATTTTCTCATGCCTTCTACGATCTTTCCATAATTAGGTTAGTCGCGCGCGGCTATTTTCGTCCCGCAAGATCTACGGCAGGGCATGGATTTTCTTTTCTTGTAACCTTTCATTTCATCTCTTACATCTACGATACCCTTTGGTTTTCATGGTTCACACGACTGTGTGAGACTTCGTTGTTACTGCGGGGCATCGGCATGGCTATGGGCGTTTACGGTTTTTCGCATCTGATGGCTATAGTGCACAAGGATCGGGTGTGTCCTTTCGTTAATTTTAAAAGCTGATTGTTTGCATTGCGGTCGCGAATACTAGAACAGTGGTAGTTCCAATTATGATGTGCTTCACTGTACGATGCATCACTTATGCGAGATCAATGACAGTATTGCGAAGGGCCTATATTGCTCGCATCTCACCATCTCTCCTTGGAAAGTGCCATGACTGCGCCCAGCGAAAGCTGGCTGTAGCAAAGTGAAGACCACCTCAAGAGACGTCGCCATCCCATCGTCACACAGCCAACACGGCACATTCATAGCCGCACTCCACCAACACGGTCTGCTGACATCGACCAAGTGCCGCGCTACATACCAGACCCACTGACCACGTTGCGGCACAACTCGCAGCATGCGGCACAGTAAGGCGCGCAAGGCTGCTTGCGCTACGATCTCCACGCCATCTGACGTGCGATGCTGCCAACCTCTCGTTTACCTACAACACTATCAATACCCACAACCAACTTCCCCCAAGTCCCCGATGTCTCTCACGCGCCTCCTTCGCACCAAAACCAAGAAAGCCTTACCCCAATACATGACGTGAACCACTCGCCCAGCCCTACAGCCCCTTCCGTCAGCCATTATTACGAGAACTACGTTCGAGTATCTGATTGGATGGAGACTATACGACACAATGGTTCGTACTACTTTGGTGGCTGTGGCAGCGGGTATTTGGCTTGGCAAAGCGGGTGTGGATGGTGTGGCACAAATCTGGTTTGACGGCGGCTACCTAGGGTAGTCCGGAGTTTTACTACTTGAGCGCAGGACGCACATGTAGGTTTAGCGTAGACACGATTGGTAACTTGGTACTGGGAAAAAGAAATCGAAGAAAGTGGGTACGGGAATTTGGCTTCCGTGCCAATGATGTGGCGTACCTGCATCCGGTACGATGCCAATGTATTTTTTTTTGTTTGGATCTTCATGATGTAGCTCAGATTCATTGCACCAATGTTCACCTCTGGTCTGCCTTCTCTGTGTGCTGGACAATCACTTCCCTTGTGCGCATGATGCCCTTCAGATCCTCTTTGTCGTCGAGGATGTTGTCCTCGCTTCCCACTCGTTCCTTAGTGACGCTGTAGACAGCACTTTTTTTGCTTTGCCTGAAGGCGTGAACTCGTGAAGCAAACTACCTCGTACGCTGGTTCTGGTTGGTCCTTCCAAGTTCTCGATGTGATTCAAGGTGCCAGCCGTTGTCAGAAAGATCAGTCGACACTATAGAGGGTCTTGCTGCACTACCAACTTCTGGTCACATGTGATGCTTGAAGGGCGAGCGCTATTCTTGAACCTTGGCTTTCGAGTTATTTGGACGCTGCGATGATATCTGTAAGCATGTGGTTGCTAGGAGAACGGAAATTGGCTCTCTCACTACAAACTTTAGTACTGTTGCTCGATGCATCCATTTATGGTCTCCCAAAAGTCCATGCATGGAGTGCAACATCGGACTAAGTTGTGTAAGATGCAGTGTATCATGACTTGTTGACAATCTTGGAGAGTCTGATGGCACTGATCTGTCGTGTGTGATGAGCCGAACCGCCGATGGTGTAAATTTGGTATTTAATCGATTTCGAACCAGCGAAAACTTCCACCGAATCCATAGCCATCCAGTCGAAAGTTAGTCATCGAGCGTCAGTGATTGCGCTGCCAATTTGGATCGCGTTATCGCTTTCATGTATTGTAGAAGACATATGAGACAGTATGTACAAACACTAATCCCCAGTATATAGTACAATCGTTTTTGTCGTGGTTGTCAGGGCAGGCACAACTCTCCGGTCAGTGGCCTGGGAAGCCCCTCAGCCTGCGCGCACCCGATCCAAGGGCTCAGACCCTGGAATCGGTCCCCTCATTGTTGATAACCACTTCCGTTGTGCATTTGATTTGCTTCGAGTCGTGTGGATGTCCTCCAAGAATATAGTCCTCACTTCCTGCGCGCTCCTCGCTGACAGCATAAATCTCATTCTTCCCGCCTTGCGCCGATCCTGCAGTCGCCCTCCACATTTCATATGCCTCGGTATCAGCCCTGTTATCCGTTCGTGTACCGCTCAGCGTGGTCAAGATCGATTTGCGAGGTCTGGAAGGTGGTGCGCTGCCGATGGTCCTGGCCTTGTCGCCGTCGTGGAATTGATTGTATTGGTTGCTGTTCGTCGACTTGCTGATTTTTCGCAAAAGTGGCTTTAGCGTGGGTATTGAGGCGGCGATAATTCCAACATTGAGCTGAACGCTGAAAGAAGAGGTCGTTAGCACTAGCTACATGCAAGCGCAGTTCATCGGGATCAGTATACTTACAAGCCCCAGAATCGTACATTGTTGTTGCTGTGTGTTATGTTAGTCAAACAGCCAGTCAAACTTGGAGAGTTGGGGCATCACGCACAAATGCGAGTCCTTGTCTTTGACAATGGTGAGTTGATATACCGTCTTGACAATACCCATGACCACCGCGCTGATAGACAGTGAGTAATGGAATGCGGGCACTGAGTATGTGATTAACTCACACATAGCCCAAGCTGAGTACAGCTATCAAACTGATTCTCATTCGTGAAGACATCTGGAGATTCCATACAATTGATATGGGCAATGTGGCGAAGCAAACATCAGTGAAGATGTTGAAGGCTACCAATGTATTAGCCAATGCATCTCCGATCGTCGCAATTGCAGCCTTACCCGAGTTTGCTATCCCAAAGTGCATAACATACTTCAACGGATAGCAAGTGTGTGCGTACTTGGGATCCCAGAAACCGGAGAAATGCTTGCAGCGTACGAAGAAGGTTAACCAGGCGAGAACGGTATAAAAGATGACAAAGCCTAATAGCATGTTGTCAGACCCAGACACCATGGAAGCGCCATACAGTAGCCAAGAAACTCACCAATCAATGCCCAGAGTGTGCGTGAGTACCATCTGTGATTGCTCAACCGGAGTAAGAAGAAAGCGATTGAGATCTTCAACAATCCGAGCGCGCCTATAGCAGAAATGATGCTTTGCCAGAAGGCGATTTGGTCCCAGATGCGTCTATCATCCTGCGAAAGGGTCGCGGTGTGTCGACCAAGACCGTAGGGCCCTTGCAAGAAGAAGCAGATCCAACCAGCCAAAGCCCCAAGCTATTATAGTGAGCATTGCAGATCAGTGATTGCGAGCAGAGGACGGGTACTCACAGCAGCTAGCACGATCACATAGTCGTCTCGTCCGGGCGTTTTAAGCAGGCCTATGCGTGCATAAAGACGAAGACCGACGCTGATCAGGGCGAGGATATGGAATACACCAGTAAGGGCGAGGAAACGAGTAAGGTTGCTTTGTGCCGCCCATTGAGGATCTAAGTCCGCCTGCGATGATGGTGCAGTCATGACTGCATAGAAAGAATATGAGAGGCCGTCAAAACATCCGACTGGAAAACGACGAGATGCAGCCTTGAGGGTAAGGCTCTGTTTAAAACGGTTCAAGCAGGTATGCAACTTGTCCACCAACCACAAGCTCAATTAAACTCCAGGTCTTCCCGCGTCGCCGCTCGTAGCGAGGTAGATTCAAGGTTGGCGTCTATAGGATAAAACGGCTTTCTATGGAACATCTAGGGGTGACTACGCCGCGGCTTCGCATGAAATCACCATATGATACCCAGGTGACTGGTTCCAGCTTCCTGAACCATGAGTTCGGGGAGCAGATGCCGTGTATTTGCACCAATTCGCCTTCAGGATTTCGGCGCATAGCCTCTTCACGCAGTTGGCTTCTAAATGAGAGCCCAGCAGTATGGGTCAGAAGAAGAGTCCTCGGGCGATAGCCAACTTCCGTTCGCCACCTCGCGTGCGTTGTATGTACGTTTTACGACGGAACAGCCATGTCACATTGGTGATGTGATTGGCGGAGGCACACTCGCAGTAGCCTGATCCCAGTTGGAGTGTCCTCGGAACCGGCAACAGGCAGGTTAAATCTCCTACACCCTAGCGACGCCGCGATCCTTCACAGCCCATGTGTGGTACCATATCCGAGAAGATATTATCAGAGGTCCTAGTACGATAGTAGAGCTGTTGACATGTAAGGGGTTCGCGTGTTTCCGTAGAAGGATTCATGGAAGACTCGAGTCGCTCTCGTCGGGAATTCTGCCGAAGAAGACGAATGCCACGGTTCCTCCGCATGTCGACTTTTGCGCTCCTTATCGATCATCCTAACATTTATATCTGAAGGCACCGGAGGCGGCAGAGCGAAACAGATGGTATTGCAGAGTGAGGCTTCGGAACCTCGGGAGAATGGCAATGTTGCTAGTGTGCCGTCCCACACGGGACGCGGCGTTCGAGGCGGTCGAGCCGCGACGCACGATCCAGCTGGCGCTCACGGCTGCGGCGTAGCTATCTCACCACCAGGGCACCTGCAGCATCTAGCCTCTGTGGGACAACCCAACATGTCGCCGCGATCCTTTTCGATAGAGTGGCCCGCTCGCATGGGATTCGGGAATTTCAGAATCTCAGCGTCAACACATGGAAAGATCATCCACCAAACCCTTCAATCCCTATGTACGCAGTAATCACAAACCTGCGTCGGTACATAAGATCTTCCGACCACGTGTACCACGTGTGAGCAATCGATGTCGTGCTCGCAGCTCATGAAGCCCACGAGCATGTTACCCGTGCGTCGATCCTGCGAGTACTCGCTTAGCGACGGTGGGCCTCTCTCGTTCAGCAATGTCCTTCGCATTGAGAATCACTTTCCCGCAGGGCAAGTAGAGAGAATCCGAGAGGATCGCTAGGTGGCTTCTACACCTCGATCAGGCTTACATGATCAAGACCAACCCATCGAGCTCACAGGTACATGCCAATTCGAAGACCAAGGGATGGTGTCTTGCAGATTGCATCTGCAAACCCTTCGTACCTCGCAGATCACACCCACCGGCTCATGCCACTCGGGAATACCACAATTGGCCTTTGCGCCGCACAGCACACCGGGTTTATGCTAAGGCAGCCAAAATCCTCAGCTACATCTAGAATGTCGCCCGTCAGCGACCATGACTAGCAGTCCTCACCTCATCCGCAGGCTCCAGTCGAGATAGCTTGTGGTCGCCTCTTCGGCTGTAAGTGTCCGACCCCAGTCTCTGCATGCGTCTGTAGAGCTTGGAGGTGCTCCTCGGTGGCGCGGTATCGGCAGTCGAGCATATTAAAAGCCATATCCCCCACCATACGTGAACTTTCTCATCGCTCAGCCAAGCAACGGAAGTCGCTCTCAATTATCTTTCTCGTTCACTTAACGTCACACTCAAGATGCGTCTATCCAGCCTTCCAACTGCCCTTCTGGCATTCGCCGGTGCTGCCCAATCTCTAGCAGTGGAAAAGAGGGACTTGCTTTCGGATCTTCAGAACCAGGCTCTTGAAAACCTCAAGGCTGCGGAGAAGAATGGTACCCTCGAGAAAAGAGGTAGCTGCTCTATTTTCAATGCGTCTGTTCGCAAGGACTGGTAAGAACCTCGAGCATCTCTTTGTCTAATAAGACTAACACACGCGCAAGGGCTATCATGAGTGCGAAAGAGCGAAAAGCATATGTCAGTGCCGTACAGTGCATGTTCGATGCTCCATCTCAATCCGATCCCACCCTGGTACCTGGTGCAAAGACCCGCTACGACGATTTTGTCGCACAACATATCAACCAAACGTTGACGATCCACGGAACCGGTAACTTCTTGAGTTGGCACAGGTACTTTGTACATGGTTACGAGAAGGCGCTGCGAGAAGAATGCGGATACAAAGGTTACCAGCCCTACTGGAACTGGTTCGCCCACACGGATGACCTGACCAAGCACCCTGTCTTTGATGGTTCAGCGACAAGCATGGGCGGCGATGGAGAGTATGTAAAGCACAATGGAAGTGCAGGCGGTAAAGGCACGATTGCGCTGCCTTCTGGCGCAGGAGGTGGCTGCATAAAGGATGGCCCATTCAAGAAGTGAGTCCGAGCTCTCAGCCCTACAGTATGCGGGATTTCTAACAAATCCAGCTTGCAAATCAACCTTGGTCCCGTCTCTCCAGCCATGGCTGGTGAGGTACCCGTCAAATCACCACTCGAATGGAACCCACGTTGCGCAAAGAGGGACCTCACCTCCTACGCATCCTCCACATGGATGACTTTTGAGAACCTCTACAACGTCACCCTCGGCACAGCCTCCAAGAACGTTGGACGCTTCCAAGACGAGCTCCAGGGACGTTTCCCTGACGGCTTCCTCGGCATGCACGGCGCAGGCCACTTCGCAATTGGAGGCGATGGCGGTGATGTTTTCAGCAGCCCCAACGACCCTGCTTTCTTCCTACACCACGCAATGGTCGACCGCGTATGGTGGCTTTGGCAGGCGCTGCATCTCGACCAGGCCAAGTCTGTCGCTGGCACGATCACCATCTTCAACCAGCCACCCAGCCGTGACGCTAGGCTTGACGACCCTATTGAGATGAACTACCTCAATCTGGAGCCTACAACTATCGAGGATATGATGAGCACGCTGGACGGAGAGCCGCTGTGCTACATTTACTTGTAGAGCGTCACTATTGTGGCGTATGTCTAATGAATAATTCTACCGATTCCAAGATATGCGAAATGCCTTGATATTGGTGATGCTCGACGATCATGGCTTGAATATGCTGCGTGTACGAATGCTCAGAAACTAATAGAGCCGTGAACTAACTCGTACCTGTACCCACACTCCGCAACCCGCTGATTGGACCGATCACCACAAGCCATCCCCATCAGCTATCGCCGTCCTACTAACACCTCTAATAAAATAAAACGACATAACAATTCCTCCCAAATAACCCCCAGAACCATGCCCAAACAGCCCATCCCCATAATCGGCGCGGGCATAGCCGGCCTAACCCTAAGCCGCAGCCTTCTCCACCGCGGCATCCCCAGCATAGTCTTCGACAAAGCGCCCCCAAACCGGCGAGGCTTCAACTACGCCATCACCCTGCACTCCACCGCCTACAAACCGTTGTTGGAAGTCCTAAATCTCTCGGATACAGCGTTCAAAGCCCACGTCGCCATCGACGCCGAAGACGGTGGCGAAGGCAAACATGGCGAAAACATAGACATACCCAGCCACGGCGGTTTATACGACACCTCCACCTCTTTCCGCGCCAACCGCGCCAAGTTCGAAAGTTTGCTAAGTCAAGATCTGGATATCCGGTTGGGTCATTCCCTCCAAGAAGTCAAAAGCACGCCCTCAGGACCAAGATTGCGCTTTGCCAATGGCGAGATGTTGGAGGGCGGGGAACTAGTTGTAGGCGCTGATGGTGTGCATTCCAGTCTACGCAAACTGCTGCTGTCGGAGAAGTCAAGGGTTGATGTTTTGCCTTATGCTGTGTACTACGGGAAGAGGTGTATCATGCGGAAGGACTTCAACAGTATCTTTGGGGGTAGGGCGGAGGGCAACCAGGGGAGGAATGTTTGGCAGACCAAGGGGGATGTGGTGCTTACTGTTAACGTGGATAAGAAGGAGGATAAGAAGGTGTGGGTTAGTTGGATCTACTCGCGGAAGGCGCGTGGGGAGGCGGATCCACTGTTCAATCCTGCTAGGTCAACGAATGCGGCTGACAAGATACCTTTGGAGTTTTTCAAAGAAGTCCGCGCTCAGAAGATTTTTGGTTATCCTTACGCGGCGATGGTTGACGTGCAGAGTATGCGCAGCGATAGGATATTGCATTGGCTGATGCGGACGACGTCTACGCCGTTGCCTGAATTGCATGACTTGCTCGCGAAGAGCGGCGTGTGTCTGTTGGGTGATGCAGCACATGCAGAGCCTATTTTGGGAGGTAATGGAGCAAACGCTTCAATCATCGACGGCTTGAGTCTTGCGGATGCCATTGCGAGCGGTGAAGATGATGGTATATCGTATTGGTACAACGACCGCTATCCGAAGTGGGTGCAAGGGGCTGAAGAGAGTCAAGCAAACCTTGCGAGAATGCATGGGTCACTACGGCCAGGTGTGAACCTTTAAGTTGATCATATTTTGTAGCTAGAGAAATCTGGGCAGCCAAAGCCACCACGTACTCAATTCGCTACCAGAAGCATGCTGACACGCATTTTTTCACTGTTCGTTCATACCATAGTCGCCTGTGTCGAGATAGCTGAGACCGTTTACCAGCCACCACCACCAGTCGCGCCGCCGCCATCACCCCAAGAAGCATCTCCACCAGCGGCAGCAGCAGTATCGCCGCCAGAGGCATCGTTGCCCCAGCCACCACCGCCATCACCACCGTCCTCGGCAACCGGCTGCGGGCAGCGCTTGATGGTGTGACCCATCTCTTGGCAGTTGTTACACTTGACCTTGGACCAGTCCTTGGGCTCAGGGCAGTCGCGAGAGAAGTGACCGGTCTTCTCGCAGTTACGGCAGAGGGCTTTGTCAGGGTTCTTGGGCTGATCACAGTCCTTGGCCATATGCTCGGTGGAGTCACAGTTTCGGCAGGCCCGGGCGGCAACGTTGGGACACTGTGGTCGTTAGCAAGGACTAGAGACGGGTTGTTAGACAAGTGTACTTACATCCTTGGAGAAGTGACCGGTCTCGTTGCACTTGCGGCACTCGACACCTTCAGCAGAACGAGGTTCGGGACACTCCTTGGAGTTGTGACCCTCCTGCTTGCAGTTCTTGCAAGCGTATGGGTTGATGCGCTCCTTGGGACAGTCGCGTGCGCGATGGCCGTTCTCCTTGCAGTAGACACACTGGATCTCGGGAGCAGTGTTCTCGCGCTCAGCCTGCTCTTGCTTGCAGTACTTGCGTACGTGACCAAGCTCACCACAGTTGCCGCACATTGGGACACCACAATCCTGGACGTAGCCACATGATGCAAGACGCTCCAAGTTCTCGGCGGGATCTTTGGGCCAGCCTGTAGCCATCTTGGCGCGACGGGGCTTGGCAGAGAACTGGATAGAGAGGACGAACTTGCAATCAGGGTTACCGATGAGGTCGATGATGGTCATGTTGGGGGCGATTTCCTGCTCCTTGGCGATGAGGAAGACTGCAAGTCCATCTTCGCGGAGAGCTTCCTTGACGGCGGGGAGGTTGAAGTCATCCATGGTAGCGCGGGCGTATGCCTTTAAACAGACACGGAAGACGTCGAGGTCTTTAGCTTTGGCAGCGTCGATGAGGGCGATCCAGGCAGACTCAGCATCCATCTCGGGGACGCCAGACCAGTTGACAATGCGACGGGACTTGCAGTCGACAGCACGGTGACCTTGTTGATCGCAAAGCTTGCAGGTGCCATCGAACGGGCGCTCGACACGCTCGTTGGTACAATCCGCCTTGTTGTGACCGACTTGGCCGCAGTTGAAGCACTCGCCAGTGAGGCCGCCTCCACCGCCCTCAGGCTTGTCAGGGCAGTCGCGAGCGAAGTGACCGGTCTGCTTGCAGCTATAAAATGTGTCAGTATCGTCACAGTAGCTAGGCCGTATGGTCGGTTCGTGTTTTGCTTACATTCGGCAGCCGTCATCGCCAGCATCACCTCCACCACCGCCGGCGTCACCACCACCCCAAGAATCTCCAGCACCAGCGTCGGCGCCGGAATCACCACCAGGGGCAGGGTCCCATGAAGAGTCACCGCCTGTTGTCATGTTAGTATAGGCTGGGGGAAGTCGCGGTGTCACAAACCTGCAGTCGCACCAGTGTCGTCCCAGCTCATAGCTGCGGTTGTCGGCGAAGCAAAGGTTGACGTCGAATTGAGCAGATGAATGCGAGTGTGAGCGGAGATAGAGGGAACTTGGAAGAGGGGAGATGGAGTGTCGAGGTTGAAAAATTGTTGTTGTGGGCGCAACTGCTCTGTTGATATAGGCGGCAGGCCCGTGCTGAAACTCAGCGATGACGACACAGGTGAAGGTGAAGCAGAAAGGAAAGATGAGTATCGGCAAGAGGAAAGATAGGTGTACCGCACACAAGAAGTATCACTATATACCAATTCAGTAAGAGAAGGTGAAGTGGGTACTTGGGTATGAAGGGAGGGTAACGTGACGAAGGCCGCTTTGGGACGACAGTGAGAGATTTACCTACCGAAAAGAGTAGGAGCAACGATGAAATCATGAACACGACGAGTATGGATGATAAGGTAAAGACATTGAACAGGCATTTGGCACATGAAATACGTAAACACTCATCCTACACGCCAAGGTCGCGTGCTTTCCCAGAAGCTGGTATCATGTCATGAACCTCACAACGAAGAGGCCGAATGCCTTCACGGCAACATGCTCAACCCGACCCAGTACCTGAACTCCAAATAATGACGTCAAACTTAGAACAATGACCGATCATACACCGCGGAACTGAGATGTTGTTAGTATATGTTGGATAACGGCAACTGAGTGTCTCATAGGTGTCACTTACCATTCGCACAACCAAGAACCACATAGCTCCAATGAATCTGAAAGCAGCCAAACCGGCAACACTGTACAGTACTACCGCCAAGTAGATGGTGGCAGCGTCGTTCTGCTTCTTCTGAGCCTCGTCGGGACTACTGACGGTGAGCTCCAGGCCACCCGACTGCAGGACCAAGGCTGAGAGACCCAAGTTGCAGAACATCCAGAAGAGCACGACACCGGATCGGAAACCCTTGTAGTAGTCTTCTTGCTTCTCGCTGGCTGACGGCACCTTCTTCTCTTCCTTCCACTTTGCGCTGAAGACGCGGAGCTCAGTCTCGTATTGGGTGTTGAGATCGGCATCGTCAGTTGGCGCCTGAATATCCGCTTTACCATCAGCCTTGGTGGTGACTGAAGGAAGCTTCTCCGGCTTGTCGTCTCCTTTGGTACCCCAGGTGATGTCGTGAGTATTGCAGAAGGCGTAGACGTTGAGAATGTTAATGTAGGTGGGTGTCATGAGGAGGTACTGGAAGAAAGACGTGAACATGTGCCATGGATCCAAGAAGATGATGGAGACCACTAGCCACATGACATACGTCGACAGCAGTGATATGATCAATGTGGCAAAGATCTTATCTTTGAAAAGATCTGCCGCGTTGAAGCCGCCGTTGGTTTCGATCTGTCCTTGCACGGAGCGAACGGTGATGAAGATGGACGCGAACATGAGATATGCCATGATGATGCACCAAAAGTAGACCATGGACATGTACCACTTGTTGGAACCTTGAGGCCGATTACCGAGTGATAAGATGAAACACGTTATCAGGACAGCAATGTAGAGCCACTCGAAGACAATAAAGAGAACTTTACCCGCGGTACCGAGTTCGTTTTGTAAAGAAGCAGTGAGGATACGGAAGACCAAGAAGAAGTTACCGAGAGCGAACCAGGCGAAGATCATGCTGATAGTTTGGTAGACAAACTCAACAAGGAACATGGTTTTGCGCAAGAAAGAGTGATCGCTGCGGAAGATGTCGAAAGAGTGGGCCAGGGCGTAGACAGCAGCGAAGAAGGATCCGTTCAACCAACGACGACGTTGACTGATGAACTCGGCCATGGTGGTCGGTACATCCGTCTCTCCGGTAGCAGACTTGACGTACTGCAGGATCCAATGGCAGTTCCTCTTGGAGACTAACTCGAAACACAGGATACGATCCTCGGCAAGGTACATGTTGGCTGTGAAGATACCAGCGTTGGCGCCGTGCATCTTCTCACCAGCAAAGTACTTCTCCAGTGGTCCCTGTCCAGTCTTGTCGTTCTGAAGGGCAACGTAACGGTAGGCCGAGAAAGCACCGGGAAGCACAGAAATGAAACCGAATGCTGATTCAAGAGGCTTGTCCAGAATGTTGCTCATCTTGTACTCAAAGTTCTGCGTCGCTACCAACGGGTTCAAAAGCTTCTTGCCATGCACTGCAGAAGTACGAAGTTAGTATTTGTCTCACATGCACTTTGTACAGTCAGAACTTACCCAACATAGCTTTGATTTCACCACAAGCACCTGCGCACATGGGTTCAAGATCGAATGCCTTCCATAGCTGGTAGACAGAGTCTTTGCCAGGCTTTGTACCAGCATCGATAAGCACACAGACATTGGGATCCAGCACAGCTCCGAAGGCCTGGAAGAACCATCTATGCGAGTTGATCTTCTTCTGGTTCTTCTCTTTGAGACAGAAGAGCATCTGTACTGGAGTGTTGCCCTTCTTGACACCGACAACACCCTTCTTGATGTCGAGCGTCATCTGCGTGGTGTACTCGTAGATATGGGCAGTCACATCCTTGCCGTTGACTTGCTGCTTGGCGATGCCGTCCTGGTAGACACCGAGCGCTGCTAGTACGGCGCGGGTCCGCGGGTTGATCTTGGCACGACCATCGCTGACGACGCAGACTACGATCTTCTTCCACGCGTCCTTGCCCCACGTCTTGCTGTTGGTTCGCGAGTTCATGTACTCAATGTTCTTGATGACACCAATCATTGTCCGCGCAAACAGTTCGTCTTCCTCGTTGTACATGGTAATAACAATGAACAGCTCGGTATGCCTTGGCTTTGCGAAAAGCTTCTGGCGCAGAGTGAAGCGCTCCGCGTCGAAGTCTGCAGGGTCGCATGTGGCGGCCGAGTAGCGCATATGGGTGAATTCGTCACGCTCCGGGGGCTGTGCATGCGGAACCTGGTTCAGTAACCGCGGTGGAATCGGGCAATCGAGCACCAAGTTACCCTTGAACAATTGGACCTCCTTGACGGTCTTCCATCGCTTTATTGGGGCGGGGCTGGGTGTAGGCGCAGGCTCATCGTGAAACGGGTTCTCTGGGTCCATGTCCTCTGGATCGTGAGGATCGGGGCCATATGAATTGGCGCCATGTATCATGGGTCTGTTCATATCCTCATCTTGCCAGTAATGTGTTGGCTGTGTTCCGTAGCCCGCGCCCGGGCTCTCGTCGTGGTGTGGAGTTGGGTCGTAAGGCTGGTTGTAGTAGGCATCGTGATGCGCTTGGGGATCGAGAGAGTAATCCGAGTCATGTCGTTGCGGTCGTGGATCGTAATCGTCGTGGTAGTTGCCTGCTGCGTAGGGAATGTTTTCTACTGAGTACTGTTCAGGTGTT